TCCTTTTCTTTCTTCTGAGATCCAAATAACACATATTTTTTGTTTTGTGTTGTCTACAGCTTTTGAATGCTGTCATGCATTTTCAGTTTGTTTGTTTGTTTTCTTTGTGTTTTGGTTTGGTTAATTTCTATTGGCCTATCTTTAAGTTCATGGATTATTTCCTTGATGGTGTCATACTACTGAAGAGTCTATCAAAGGCATTCTCCATCTCTGTTACGTATTTTACATTTGATTCTTTCCAACAGTTTCTATCTCTGCTAAAAATTCCCATCTGGTCATGCAGGTTGTCTACCTTTTCCATTAGAGTCTTTAGCATGTTCTTTTTCAGATAGTTCCAACATTTGGGTCATACCTGAGTCTGGTTCTCTTCATTTCTTTTTTGCTTTTCCTTGGACTGTTTTGTTGGTGTTCTCCTTCTTCCTCCTCCTCTGCCTCCCGCACTCCTCTCCTCCCCTCCTTCCCCTACCTCTCCATCCTCTTCTTCCTCTTCTTTGTCTTCATCTTCATCTTCTTGGGTGATTTGTAGGGAAGTAGAGTATAAAATAGTATTTACGCCTAGAAGTGGACATTCCTCTTTTTCTGCTAACCTTTAGTTTGTGTATTGGGGGATTTAGTAGATCTAGTCAGTAACTGAGCTAGGTTTGGGTTTCGTTGTTGCTGTGGCTAACCTTCAGTGCATTGCTAGTTTCAAATTCCTCTAACATTCACTTGTGCTTAGGGTGGGGTTTGGGTGGCTGGAGACTTTGTTCTCCACCCTCCATTTTAGGCTTTTCCTGGGAACTTCTAAATCAGAGAGGTTCACTATTTATGCTTTCATGCCTCCCCCAGTGGTAGCCTGCTATTACCTGTTTCTTAGTGTTTGCTTGCCTGGTGTTTAGAGGCAGAGATGTTCTCTGTTATCCTATTTCAGCCTTGATCTTAAGCAGGTCTGCATTCTTGGGTCTTGGGAATGGGACTTTTTCTCTGTGATCCTGTTCCTCTCTTATCAATAGAGGATCAGAGGATCTCTAATGATATAGTTCCAGGAAGCTTTCCTACCACTTTCTTGTTTCCATCCCCTAATTGCAGTGAGTCTTTGCTTGTGCCCTGATGGCAACAGGGTCTGTGTTTTAGCTCTGTAGGGAGGATCAAAGTGGTACATCATGCTTTTCCTGCAGTGACTGCTGCTCCCTTCCCACAGGCCTGCATCATCAAAGGATGCTTTCTCCAGAAGCTCACTCTGCTCCCAGTCTTTCTCGAGAGCATCTGGTGAAGTCCAAGAAGAGAAGCCTGTTAGTGGATGTAGATTACCCTTGAATTCGTGGCTCTCAGTAGCTCTATACTCTCTTACTAGCCCACCTTTGACTTTTAGTAAGTCATTAAACATTGTGGCTGAATTCTTATTACCAGCTTGTTTAGGGCCTGACATCTCTTCCTCCCATGGAAGGAAGCTCTGCTCTGTGCAGGCATCTATCTTTCCTCTGATTAGTTAAGGAAAACTTATAATTCTGTATATTATTCAACTTTTTTTTTTGAGGTTATGGTGGGAGTAATACTCTTTATATCTTTGTACATCTTAAACAGAAGCTGAAAACGTCTGTACTACAAATATATTTTCCCAGTGTGTAATTTATCTTACTTTTTATGGTATCTTTTGCTCACAGAATATTTTTATTCTAATATAGTCAAATTTTTTAATCTTTTCCTTTATGGACTGTGCTTTTGAAGTCAGGTTGAGAAATCTCTCCTTATCCATAGTTCATAAATATGCCTTTTTCTTGAGAGGAAAAATGAGACCATTGGGGAGAACACTCTCAAGTTTCTGTCCCTTACTTTTTAGATCATATCTCATTTTCTATTCACTCCTCTTCCTCTCATTACAGCAGACTGTATCATCTAGAGTTTTTCTTGACCTATCAGTCATCTTCCTTTCTCCTTAATCTTCAATTCTTCTTTTGTTTTTCTAGCTATGTTCTTTCAGCATTTAAATAGGCTCAAGAGTCCCTATTCTTAAAAAAAGTTTAGCCATCTCTTAGCCCAATGATCTTGTTTACTTGAGAAACACCAGTTAAGTGAAGTGATGACATTCTTCCCTCAGTTGTTTCTGTCTGCTGCTCCTCCTATCACTGCTGGTACCTTTACCAACTAACCTCTCTTCTTGCTCCCTTAAATAATTTGTGCCTTAAGTTGAATCCTCAGTCTTTCCTTCTTCTCACTACGTTCAGTTTCTTTCAGTGACTTCACGTGTTCCTTTGATTTCAACCATTTGCAAACAATTTCCAAAAATATACTTTTAGAGCCTTAATGTCTCTTATGAGATGTAGACCTATGTGTTCAACTGCTTTCTGAATATCTTAAGGCACCTCAGAAATAACATGGTTAAAACTAAACTCATCATCCTTGACTAAAATTCCTCCTTCTTTATTTTCCAGTTAGCCTAGTGGCTCATAGTTTACGGGGTTTCACCTGAATTCCTGTCTTTCATTCTCAACTCTGATATCACATCTAATTCCATCATCAAATCCAGGTAATTTTATTTATAAGTTTCTTTGGAATTCAGATTCTCTTTTCTAATCATCTGCTTCTGTTTTGGCTTAGATCCTCCTTATTATTTTGTTTTCCTAGAATATTAAAATAACCACCAAACTATTGGTTTCCATATCAATTTGCTGCGTTCCAGTACATTCTCTACTTTGACACCCAGTAAACTTTCTAAAAACCGCATATGGTTATGTCACTCTCTTGCATAAAGTATATTTAGTGTGGCTTCTTTCTGCTCTAAGAATTAAGTTTAGTCTCTCTAGCTATCTGTTTTAAATATATTTGTGGTATGTAAAAGCCTCAATCTATTCTTTTGCGTGATCTCCAAACCAAAAAATTTCCAAAGAGACACAGAAAGGGAACTATTGTACCTAACCGTAACCATAGGTAAATGCTATATTTACCAGCTAGAAATGCAGTGGTTTCCTAGAGCTTTCTAGTAATGCAACTGCTTCCTTCTGAGGTATGTGCCTTGGTAACAAGTATCAAATGTCAAATTTGTCCTCAAATGCAACAAATGTAGAACGGAAATTAATAGAATCATAAGAGATTGTCATATAATCCTTTGGCTTCATTCTTTCTAAAATTCAAGAAGTTATTTTTCAGTAAATGAACTAGTTTTGAATGGATAGTATACTTAAAATGGGATCATACTAATGAGTCTTTTTAGGCATCTTCAGTTTTCTCCACTGACCTCCAAATTATGCAAGTGCACACACACCCACACACAGAGTTAACTTTTATTTTATTAATTATTCACCATTAGTGTGCAGAGTGGTTATTTTGCTAAAATTCATTCATATTACCTTACTTAAGTCTCTTTGTCAGTTTTTAAGATGACTGATCAGGATTAGAGGTTGAGTCTTTGGTCAAGAAATATAGTGAATTTGAGCCAGCCCAGATGATTTAGTGGTTAAAGTTTGGCGTGTTCCACTTTGGCAGCCCAGGTTCAGTTCCTGGGCACAGAACCACACCACTCATCTGTCAGTAGCCATGCTGTGGCAGCAGCTCACATAGAACTGGAAAGAGTTACAACTAGAATATACAACTATGTACTGGGGCTTTGGGGAGGAAAAAAAAAGAGAGAAGAAGATTGGCAACAGATGTTAGCTTAGGGCAAATCTTTCTCAGCAAAAAGAAGAAAAGAAGTACAGTGAATTTAATAAAATTCTTGTATCTAAGTCCCAAATGCATGATGATCTTCCAAAGATATTATTCCACTTACGCTAATGCATTTGTCATAGGTTCTTGAGAGAATGTGGTACAATGAATATATGTCTGTCCTTATCAGAAAAAGACTTCTAAATTTAAATTGTCAAAAAAGAAATTCAAAAATAGTATCTTAACTCAAAATATAGTTTTCAAATTGGCAGGTTTGGCACAGTAACCCTTTTACCCTTTACCCCAGAAAGTATTCCTGGTTGTATCTTTAGAAGAAAATGTGTATTTGTCTGCAACTTTATTGTACTATTTTCTAAAGATTCAAGATGCTTTCTGGATTTAATTTTTGCCAGATTATCTTAAAAAACTAAAGCTGAATTATAGATGAAGCCACTTTGTTAAGAACAACAAAGAGTAAGGCTGTGGGTTTGTGAAGCTGGAGACCGAATCAGTATTCCAAAGCACACTTGATTGCTGCTATCTCATTCAGCAACTTTGGGTAGACATTTAAAGATTTTTATACATTTTAATTCAGCTGGTAACTTGATTTAAAACAACATTGATTTTCTTTCTAATTCATTCTTGGTCATGTATGTCATACTAAATATCAAAATGAATTTGAAACTATTTGGGTATTAAATTCTTGGAGAAGCTTCCTTTCTCCATGCTAATTTTGATCATTTTGTTGTTACTTTCATTTCCCCTTGAGCTTTGGCTTTTAAGAATTATTATTCATTCTTTTCACCGTATACCCCAATCATTAAACAATTAAACCTTTATCAGGCAAAGCAGCAAAAGACTCCATGGATAATGATGAGATTGGAAAATCGCCTGTACAACCTGTTGGCTCATCTTTGAAGAAGAGAGTCATGCCAAATTATCTTTATGTGCTCATCAATAACATTCTAACAAGGATGGATAGAGAGATGAGCATAAAGGGCAGTTCTAATGGAAGGAATGATAGTAACATTACCTTGGCAAAACTTGCTAATGCCTTAACAAGATGCTATCTGATCTTGCGACTAAATCAGGTGCATATTAAGTTGGCAGCCCCTATAGCTAACTGCTATTTTATAGAATGAACCAGAAGAGAAAGAATGTAATTTCAAAATTTACAAGCTCCTCATATGACCATAAAATAATTGCATAGAGAATACCCATTAAATACAGAGTTTATTGTACATTAACTGGGTGCATTTGTCCTAAAAGTAAAAGTGGGAGGGACAGGAAGGTAGTTATAGTCTCTATCTACCTTTATTCTTAGCTTTATACTGAACTCTGAAGTAACTGAGATTTTTGCTATTGTTTCCTAAATGCAGAATTTCAGAGTGGGATATCAGGTCTTTAGTGTGAAGATACATCTATATTAAACCAGGAATCATTGGCACTGACATTTCGGCACGAAAGCTTGAAAGGTTGAACAATTGTGAAGGTTGATCATGGAAATCAAAGAGGAAGGAGCATCAGAAGAAGGCCAGCACTTTCTTCCCACACCGGCAAATGATACTGGGGACTTTCAGTTCACAAGTAAGTATGTGCGCACTCATTCTTGTAACTCTCTGAAAATGCAAATTGAGTGTACTAAACAGACACATGCATGTGTATTCACAGAAGCGCGTTCTTGCAAATAGCGTGAGATTAAACTTTTTCCTTTGTGCTATTTATTTTGGTGTTGTGAATCTATGCTATGCCTCTCATCTTTTATCTTGGATGAGATAAATGATAGTCCATGAAATGGTTACATATCAAATAGCAGAATCAAAGTTCCTGAATATTCATTAGGACCCTAATAAATACTTTTTAAGAACACCTTCTATTTAGCATTGATATACTCTCATGTGGAATTATTTTTTGGAACATAGAAATTTTCTCTTTAAAACCAAAGACATTAGGGCAAAATGGTTACACTAGATGCTTAGACTGTTGCTGCCATACCATAGAGTGCTAAGTTACATAAAGAGAGCAAGCTTGGAGATTTGGCCAAGATTCGCATTTAAACATTAAGATTGGTTTTTGTTCTACTCAAGTAATTAAAATTATGGGAAGAAATGTATGTATTCTCTCATGTTTAAAATTCCAGGGTTTGGGTTTTATTGTTTAGCATGAATTGTGTCGTTATCTTTTCTTTTCAGAAGATTCCTATTGCTCAATTATTTAACACTGGCAAACATATGCCCAACCTCTTGCTTAATTTACATTATAAAAATAATCTTTAGAAAGTGGTATTGGCTGGATGCATTTTTTGAGAACTTTGGCTGTCAGAGCTTACAGCAGAGTTAATTGTTAATAACCTTTTTAAAAATCCACGCTATTTGAAATGCACAAAGACCTACCTAATGATTGTCATTCTAACCCCTGTTGGAAAGTCTAAAATTGTTAACCATAGCATGGTTAAATGTCAGCAGGAGAAAAAAATATGGTTACTCTGCAAAAAAAGTGAACTCTATGAATAAAAATGAGTGATTTTTATGCAAAGAGATGGTTCTAACAATATATTAGTGACCAAATGCTAGTAAATTTAAATTGTACCTGATCAATGCACCAGTAAAAATAAACAAGGAAAGGATTCTTATAATATTCTTATGTTTATTGCCAAATGGTTTACTTTTCCATACATTTTGGTTTTGCTGCCTTGGCCACCCATGGGTTGTAAGAAATGGCACCCCGGTCCTCATCCGCTTTTGTTTAGGAAGGCCCTGCACTGTGTGTGGTCTTCGGGCATCTACCTATGACCTAGTTACTTGCCACAGTCTGATCTTTCTACCTCTTAACCATTACGTCTTCCCACTTCCTTACCTTTAGTCTCAGACTCACTTTCCAGCCCACTTCATCTTAAATTATTTAGCCATGTTACTGGATTTTTTAAAAATCTCCAAAAAAGGAATAGAAATATTTAACAGAATGTTGGTTTGAGCTATCAAAAATCTGGCAGAATAACCACTATCATGTCTTTCATAACCCAATCAGAGATATCTTTTTAATTAATAATTTTCTATTTATAGCAGATCCAAGTAGTTTGAAAGAAAAATCTATCTAAGAGAGTACTTTGGGGAACTCATCTTTTTTGAAGGTTCCTGCTCAGTCTCTATGCATCCAAAAGAAACAGATGCCACTGAAAAATGTTTTGAACTTGTCATAGCTTACAAAAACAGTATCTCTGAGTTTCGTTACTGCCATAGAGCTAAATAGATCAGTCAAATCTTTAGTCATATCTCATTCTGCTACAAATATTATGTTCCATTCTGAAAACCAACTGCTTATAAGTCTGACTAACTGAGTTTATTCATTCTGCCAAATAATGTGTTTCTACATTCTGGGCAGAGTGAAACATGATAATATTCATTGATATATTTATGATAATAAGTTAAATATCTTTCATCTGAGTTTGTACCTATTATTTACAGGTATTCAGAAGACTCCAAATGAACCACAGTTGGAATTCATCCTTGGTAAGGAATTCCATCTTATTTATTATTATAATAATAATTTGTATATACAGTTTGCAACTTGTAGGTACCTGACTTATAGCGTACCTTTTACAAACTTTTATGAACTTTGCTCTATAAAAACTTTCATTTTATAAGGTAAGTAGTATTTTCTCTAATTTATAAGTAAAGAATCTGAGCTGAAGAGTAGGTCATTTCACCACCCAAGGACATAGGGTTCAGTGGTGACAGAGTTGTGTCTGACAACCAGGTCTGCAGACCACAAATTCAGTGCCCAGCACTCCTTCTCATGCAGTGACTGGATTTTGTTGCTAATCAATGTTTCTGGAAATCCATGTGCCTAATTATTTACTCCTTGGGCTGGAGACTGGCCTGACATTGAGTTTTCCTTTACGGCATTTACAAGATTCTTCTCTCTTTCAGTCTCACTCACTCAAAAATGTCCTCCTCCTGTTCCATCTCGATTTTGTGGGCAGATCCTCGGCATTTGAGAATTTAATTCAAAACTTTGACTTCCTTAAGCAACTCTAAAAGTCTGTCACAAGTAGAAATTTGTAACTTTTTTTCAAGAATGAATTAAAAATGTGCACTCAGGGTGACCCACTACTTAGCTCGTGAGGGGGACCTGCTTTGTGTTTGAAGCAGGTATGACTGCAAGATGCTATTAGTAACTTAGCTGCAAAATAGTATTTAAAGAGGGTAAAAATATGGTTGATATGAACTATTTAGAAAGAGGTTATTTTTTTTTTCCTCTCATGGTTCCAAAATATTATGAAAGGTCACCAGTATCTTTACATTTTTCTTTGTAATGAAGTTTTATAGAATCATACATGTATATGTTCAATTTCATATACAGAGAGTAGATATATTTTAGTATCCAAGTCTTTAAAATTAATATACATATTTAATAAAGTTATGGGCAAATTGAAATATATACATTCACTACCCATAGTGGTTTTTGGTGAAGTCCCAATTATTTTAGCAACATGTGTTTTTACTATATAATAAAATGGCTTTTAAATTTATATCCTTTTCTCATAATATTACATTTTGAAGCATAATTTATTAGGACAATAGTTATATATAATTTATTTTTTTTGTTTTGTTTGTTTTCTCTTTTAATAGACTTTATTTTTAGAGCACTTTTAGGTTCACTGCAAAACTGAGAAGAGGGCATAGAGATTTCCCATATAAACCCTGTCGCCACAAACAGACAGCCTCCTTCTTTTCAACATCCCCTGCCAGATTCATACATTTGTTGCAATTGATGAACCTACGTTGACACATCATTATCACCCCGAGTCCATGGGTTACGTTAGGGTTCACTCTTGGTATTGCACATTCTATGGATTTGGACAATATATAATGATATGTATCCATCATTATGGTAACATACAGAGTGTTTTCAGTGCTCTAAACCCTCTGTACTCTGCCTGTTCATCCCTCTCTCTCCTCTAACCCTTGGCAACCACTGATCTTTTCACTCTCCCCATAGTTTTGCTTTTTCCAAAATATCAGACACTTAGAATTATAAAGTCTGTAGCCCTTTCAGATTGGCTTCTTTCACTTAGTAATATGCATTTAAGTTTCCTTAATTTTCTTTTCATGGCTTGATAGCTTATTTCCTTTTAGCATTAAATAATATTCCATTTTCTGGATGTCCCACAATTTATTTGCCCAGTCACCTACTGAAGGACATCTTGGTTTCTTCCAAGTTTTGGCAATTATGAATAAAGCTGCTATAAACATCTATGTGCAAGTTTTTTGAAGACATAGGTTTTCTACACCTTTGGGTAAATACCAAGGAGTGCAATTGCTAGGTCATATGGCAAGAGTATATTTAGTTTTGTAAGAAATTGCCAAGCTATCTTCTGAAGTGGCTGTACCATTTTGCATTCCCACCAGCAACGAATGAGAGTTTCTTTTGCTCCACATCCTCACCAGCATTTAGTGTTGTCAGTGTTCTTGGTTTTGGTATAATTTTTTTAACATTTTATTTTGTTACAAATATAGCTATAAGGTGCTATAATTTAAGGATTCTAGATTTTTTATTATCCCTAGTATTGAGAAACAGAAATGTAAAAACTCAAAGAACTTCTGTGATAACACCAATAAAGCTATACTTTTTTTTTTTTTTTTTTTGTAGAGAGTTCTCAGCTGTTGTCAGATATAAAAATAACTCATTTTCAGAAAGGGAGTTGAGGATCCAAAGAAACCTAGGCACCTATTGACTCACTGGCTGTAACTGTTGCTACCTGAGCCTTCCTTTATCCCTCTTTCTTTTTTTCTTTCTTTTTGGTGAGGAAGATTGGCCCTGAGCTAACATCTGTTGCCAGTCATCCTCTTTTTGCTTGAGGCAGATTGTCCCTGAGCTAACGTCTGTGCCAACCTTCCTCTATTTTGATGCTGCCACTGCATGACTTGATGAGTTGTGTGTAGGTCCGTGCCTGGGATCTGAACCCACAAACCCCAGGCTGCTGAAGTGGAGCAAGGAAATTCAACCACTTCACCACCAGGCCAGCCCTCAACTTTCATTTTTAAGAGAAGAGATTCATTCTTTACCTTTTTGAGAGGACTTCTGAAAAGTGAAGATTTGTTAGAGTGATTTAGTGTATTTCAAAAAACAGACAAAGCCTTGTTATTTGCATCCTGGAGAACAGGGGGAGTCTGAAGAAGGCAGAAGCAACTGGAGTTAGGCAAACACGGTGGTGGCCAGTTTTCCAGAGACAGTGTGCTTGGGCCAAACACCTGTCTTTTATTTCAATTAAGGTTATCAGTCTTGCTCCAGGGCCTAACTATACTGTTTGTTTTGAAAGCCCAGTCAAGTTCAGTAGCAATGCTGTTGTCACTTATATTTCTGGTTTTGAATCGTAGATCCAAGAGCTAAGCAGCTGCAAGAATACATCCATAATAATATTCCTCTCATTTAAAAGAAAACCCTCAATTTTCTTTTTTTATGCTTATTCAAAAAATACACTAGAATTCTTAACAAATAATTTTATCTTATAAAGTGGCAAGAAATGCCTGATGAATAAACAAAGAAAGTTATTTAGATTGTTCAGGGAATTGTGCTATTGATCTTGGAAGATACATTCCCCATACTGTTTATTATGCTTCTTAGTACGTTAGGATTCTCAGTTATACTATTTCTTGAAGAAGTTTTTTAAAAAACTACTCTTTCAAAGACATTACACCTAAACCCTTGTAGACTTTACTGTATTATTTTTAACACTTTTTTTCTTTGGGTTTTTTAAATCCCACAAATTCTTTAAGACTTCACCTGTTATATGGTTAACTTCGTTTCATAATGAGTAATGAAAGAATGATTTCTTAAATATTTGTGTCATTGTTTAAGAATGTGCATATTTATTTAATAAGAAAAAACCCAACTGTCTTAAAACAAAAAATAATTCTAGGAAAAATATAGAAGAAACAAGGTAGGAGGGTTTTTTCCACCTAATTTTCCAAATAAATTTTTGATATTTGATTCTCTATTTTTTTACACAAGTATTCAAATAAACTGAGAATTTCAATGGCTTTGCTTTTCAAATTGGGAAAACAGCACACTAATTTTGCCAAGTGGTATATTGCTTTGTATAAGGTATTTTCCGGCAAAGACTTGTTTCTGCCTTGTCTGTATGCCACTATATCATCATTGTCTCTTGCTGAAGTTTCTCTGCTGCATATCTTTATTCAAGTAAATGAGGTAGGAGATGCTTAGTCAATTGAGCAAGCTAATTGCCTAAAAATGTCTTGTTAGCACAAGATAAGCATGTACTGAAAAAAATGAGTATCTCATGCCATTGTCAACTGTGTTTCTAATGGTTTACTGCATTTGAATTATATAATTCACCCTTACACCTGAAACTCTGCTTCCACATCTCTTTCATTGTTTCCTTTGAGCGTATTGATACCCTTTTTATTTTCACAAAGAAAGAAATAATTAAAAACCTAAGAGAAAACAGATTTGGATTATGGTTTAATAAAATTATTTTCATTTCAACAAAGCTGGCATTTAAGAAGAGAGATAATTTCTTAAAATCTGGCTACATTTCTTTCTTGAATCCATTGTGGAAAACGTCTACAGAAGACTAATTATGACAAAGATATAAAAGAAATCTCTGTGAGAAATTTCTTAAACTCATCCACCCAATTATGCTTATAGTGTTTATCATCATGTGCCTCCATTTACCATCTCCAGAGTCAATAGAGTACTTATAACAATATATTTTCATATTTTATATGGATATCACATATATTATAAATCCAAAACAATAGGCACTAATGTATATTAGATACATAGGAAATAATATCGTGTGTGTTTGCCTGTGGTCCTTGTGTTCTTTCTTTGACATTTTGAAGTTATTCTTGAAATTAATTTACACTTTGATGAACTGATACCCAGTGGAAGCCAAATGACCAGGTACAGGGCACATTAAAAGATGTATTTTGTGCACATCAACAGCCTCCAGATTGATTATGAAAGGAATGTGAGGACATGGGCACTGGAGTGAAATCTCTAACCAGTACAAACGATTCATTCATCCAAATTGTATTGAGAACACAGAAAGCTTGTAGATAAAGTATTTTCAGGTTGTGTTAAGTTCTGTGTAGACAGTAAACAGGGCCACTGTACAGAACATCCCTGGGGGCCAGGCAGTTAACTTGCGACTAGAAGACCTGCTTTAGATTTAGAGGTCAAAGAAGGCCTCTGTATGCATAGGGACTTAAGCTGGCTGCGGGTACCGATTTGGAAAGCGTCTGTACTGAACAGAAGACCCAGGTGACTTTCCAAGCAGGGGGGAGCGGGCTTTGGTCGATATTTATGCGCAGGAAATAGGGTCGTAAGAACGGGAATCCTGGGGTTCAAAGGCGGTAAACTGGGTTGCTGGTTTGATGAAGCATGAGACCGAGTTATAAGTTGATCTGGTCTTGAAGCAAAAAGAGCCACAGGGGAAATGGCAGAAGAGGGAAGGACCATGTGCTTGGACTACTGGAATCCC